ATCACTTTTAATGAATTTGAATATTAATCAGATCTCAAATATCCTGAATATTTATTGAACTTAATTATCTTATGTAACTTATTTAGTTAATAGTTATTTATTTCAATATTTTCAATATATTAATAAAGTAAAACAAAAAAGTAACAAGAAAAAAAAATGTACTACATTTTAAAAAATAAAACTTTAAATTTTTAATTTTGGCTTTGAGTTTAAAGTAGCTTTTTTTAAAGTACCTGTATTTCTACTACATTAGATTAACAAATAATTGTTCTCATTCTCACCTACTACAGATTTTTATTTAGGAAAAGAAGAATTTGGAAATGTTCAGGATCTAGTCTGCTTCTGTTCTTGTCTCAAATTAAACCTTAGATGTTAAACCTGTCTGTATGCAGTGAAAATACAAGGGATGCCATAAACACAAAAAAAAATTAAAATTCATTTGTTCAAATTTCAAAACATTTATGATGGCATATATGGTTTATTGGACTGTCCACAATGTCACACAATAGCTATGGGCATGTTAATAAAAGATACTTATTAATTATTGAAATATTTTTCATTTTATAGTCTTCCTTTAGATACTTGTCAATTTGCAGTCTGCAAGGACTGTTTGCATCCCTGTCATGAAAGACAATGCATCAAGATATAGATTTTCTGAATGTACTGCTGTGCTGTTAATATTTCTCATACCAACCATTACCAAGAGTGAGTAACTTTCATAATGAGATGGCTTCCCAGACCATCACACTAGTAATAGAAGCAGTGTGCCATTCAACAGTAAAGATGGAATTAAAGCACTCATCAGTGATCCTCCACACTAACATAAGAGTTGTCCATTCTAAAACAGAACCAGGATTCGTTGCTAAAAATGATATGCTACCAGTCCATGCACAATAGTTCTCTGTTACGCATCATTGCAGACAAAGCCAACATTGTTGGAGTGCTAATGGCAGGTTAGAGTGGTCACAAGTGGTCACTGTACATGCAAATTTACCTCTATTGACTTGCCAATTTTATGAGAATAAACAAAGTTCTGTAGCAAGGCTTCCATTTGTCTCTAGATGATGGACAAAAATGCAGCTGTTGATGCTTGTCTCATGATCTCTTCTGGTGGTTTATCTGAGGCATCCAGAGCATGTCCAACATTTGTATATACCCTCACATAATCTCTGTCCCAACACCTCCTTGCAGACACAAGCAAGCCTAGTGTTTCAAAGACCTTCATTCATACAACAGGTATACTAAAAATTCTGAACAGTGGGTTCTGCAAGTCTTTTATAGGATACGATTTAAGAGTATTGATTTTAAAGTGGAATTATCTGGCATGCAATTGGGTGATAACTGTAATCATTTACATATCTATCTGAGTCATAGTTGTATGTCAAGTTTTGCAATATTCAGACAGTTCTGTTTGGCAACTTTTTATCAATAAGTATATTTTTCAAATATTTTAATTCTTATTATTTTTGTTGGATATCTATAAATTCTTCCATTACAAAAGCAATTTAAAAATCTGAAAAATATGATGTTTATTATGTATTTTATTTATAAAGAAAAAAATTCTAAAAGTCATTTTATGATTTTACCAATAAATTCTAAAAATAATGTTTCAACTTTCAATAATGCACTTTGTTTCTCAAACTGTAATTATTACTATAAAATCATGACTGCTTTTGTGTATAAACAATGAAATATGTCAGATTTATGGTACAGTATTTTGAAAGAAGAAAAATCAGCCTAAGGTGCTTAACACACTATATGAAAATTAAGAACTTATGACAGGTACTGTACATAATTCTAAATGAAAATTAATACAAATACAGAAAACTAATAATTCTAATCTTTACATAACTGATTATCTTTATAAGGGATGATGCCACTGCCAATTGATGTAAATTTAATTCATTGAAAGCAAACTCTTGAAATAATATAGCAATTTGATTGAAATAATTGACATTTTCATTGCAGCTGTTATAATTCAAAATATTTTCATTTACTTAATTACTAAATTTTAAATCTGGTTGTATATATTGTCTTAATGAAACTACATATACAGTGTGTATCATAAAAATCTCTTTTGCCTTGCAGGAAAACATCAGTGCTCAAAAAAAAATTCTCATGGGTAATGCAAGTGTCTTGCATATGAGAATCTTGTGTTTTAAATGCAAGTATAACCAGAAAAAATAATACAATACAATATATTACATATATCAACATCTCTGGTTTAATTTCTCTGGTTTAAGAATCCTGTCCCTTTTGTTAAATGCTGATGTTTTCCTGCAAATTCCTCATGTAACAAGATGTTGGATGAAAACTGCATATTTCATGACATAACATATAATAAATAATTACTATTCACAGTCAACAGAATTAAATATAGTTTGTGTATATGCATAAAAGTAATATTAACATAGATAAGTAAATTAATACAAAGTAAAAGTTGTTTATTGTAATCATGAATAACATTATCAGCATTAACTTAGATGTCTTGGGACATGCTAATAACAACACATTCATTAATAAACAAAACAAAATCACACACAGATATATCCATTCCAAATACCTACAATAAAAAAAAAAATACTTTAAAAAATCATTAAATGCTCAGAACTCACTCACAAAATAAGATGCATATAGAGAATGGGCGAGATGATTATTGTGCCTATCATCCTCTCTTGTACAAGCATCATATACAAAAGATTAGAAACATTCAGCCTTATCTAGTACATACATCACATTACAGAAAGCAGTCATACTAAACACCTGTTACAATCAGCAAATTTTTAATTACAGATACATACACTAACAGCACATTAACAATGTAACATCTTTTTTCAGCAGCTCTGTCTTGACCTTGATCCAGCATAGTATTAGGCACTAGTATCAACTGTATATTTTGTTGGTGGAATGTGCCCTAATTATAATTAATAAATCTTCAAATTATACAATTTTTAATTGTTTTAACGTCTTTTTAATGTCAGAGTCAATGGAACCAGAATCTACTGGAGATTCTAGTTCATTGACTTAGTTCATTTCATTCACTTTCATTAGTTAGTTGTAGTCTTACTTATCCTAATTAATGTTACCAATACAAGCATGTTCTAATATGACTGCATTAAGCAGATTATACTGTATTTTATATTTTTGAAAATAAAGTTGTATAGAAATATAAAAATTAAAATTAATTTATATTTTTAAATTATTATTATTATTATATAAAAATATGCTTAAATTTCACATTAAAATAAGCCTTACCNTATAATAACAAGAAATAAAATAGTATTGTTTATTCTGAACATTAAAAATATTTACTTATTGTTAAACTATTTTATGATAAATTTATCATTATTATGAGCTTACCATTAGACACTGCTTTTCATTTAGATTCATTACATGGATTTTTTTCTAGTCCATCAAATTGTACATTTGTTGGTAATATTTACAGTTTTACTCTTCTGTTGTAAGGGGCTGTCTTTAAATGATGTCCACACTGAAAGGGAGGGAGGGGTTAAGACAAGTTGGACAAGGAGGGTTGAGTATTAGTGGACATCCATTTATTTCATTAAATTTTATACAATATGCATTTTATTATATTTATTTCAAAGTTTCTTGTATGTTTCATTTCTACTTATGGTATCTATCATTCATAAAGTGATGAAGGTTTTAACAGGGATAGAGTTATGTTGGACATCCATAGAGGGAAAGGGGTTACAAAAACTTGGACAAACTGAGACAAGAGGGAAAAGTAAACATTTCAAGAAAAATGCACATGTAATTTATGGATAGCCCAAGTGCTTAGACTGTAGAAAATGGACTTATACCACTTTCAAAATCAATGGTTATGCAATGTCATTTATCGATAAATTTTCAATTGATCAAAGCTTATGGTTATTTTAAAATGTTAAGTGTGAATTGTTTATAAATAAAAAGTTCACACTAAATTGTATGTATATTATGTGTTTTCTCAATTTTTTCCAAAAATGGACTTACACCACTTTCAAAATAAACGGTCCAATTAATGTAAATAAATGACAAAGTAAAGTATCATTATATTTACATATAAAAATAATTAAACAAAATCATGTATTTCATTGCTTTACAGCAATCAAAATGAAAGTCTCTCAGTTACATTTTTTACTTTAAAAATTCTGAAAATTATTGTAACATGAAATAACTTATTTTTGGAATTTGAAACTTTTAAATATTTTATTCATTTTTACTTGTTTTAAAATATTATACAATACCTGATAAAAATTCCAATCCCCTGAATTTTCAAGATCAAATATAATTTCAAGTTTATTACAAAAAAGCAAATCATTATTTCATTGTAAAATAAATAACAAGAAATGAAAGAATGATATTTTGAATATAAAAACATCAATTTTTTCATAATACTAACTTGTATTTTACAGGCAGTAAAAATATAAACAAAAATGAAAAGTGTAAAGTTCCCAATTATATAATTTACAGTAGAAAAACTCAATCAGTGTATTTAATATTTCATTGACCATCTCTAGCTACACTTCTTATAAGCTAACAATGCTTATTACTTTACTTTTTTTTCCACAAGCCTTTGTTGAGCTTTTGCAATATACTTCTGACTATGCCCTTTCAATAGTAAATTTCTCATTTGCTTTTTGAAGTCACTAGAGTAGTATTTTTTGATGCCATTTTAGTTGGTTAACTTGACTGCATAACTGGCCATATAAAGCACGTATACATTATTTGACTAGGTACTAATATTCACATGAGTATGACAGTTTGTTTTAAGCTTTGCATAATTATCAATTAACGTAATCTTACATGATCAGACTATATGAATGGGAACTTTTCCAATCTTCATTTTTTGTTTTATATCTTCTTCTGCTTGTAAAATTCAAGTTAGCATTATGAAAAACTAAGGTTTCTGTAGTAAAAATAGCTCTCTCACTTCTTGTTATTTATTTTAATGTATAATGATTTGCTTCTTTGTAATGAACTTCAAAACACACTTGACTTTAAAAATTTGTGCTGATTGAAAATTTTTTGTCTGGTTGTATATCAAACATTATTAATTATTAAAAGTGAAACAAATGGCTTACCTTTTGCTTTTTTCTTAAATTAACTTTAACTCCATCAACTGATACAGTTACTGTAACTTTTTTCTTTTTTATTCCTTTAGCCTTGAATTCATACTAAAATTAAAAAAAAAAAAATTTAATTTAACTGAAAAATTCATATATTTGAGAAACATATAATAAATATCCTTATTATAAAAAATCATAGAATTACAAAGCTAGTTTTTTGTTCATTAGATAAACAATAGCTTTGTTTTATTCTGTATAGTGTTCCCTAAATTTAACTTTTCTAAAATAAACAAACTGTTGCTAAATTTACTGGTTATCTCTTTTCTTTAAAAATATTAAATTTATAATACAAACATTTAAAAGAAAAAATATTAATAATATATAATTCAAAAATATCAATATTATATGTATACAGTATTTGTATAATGCTTATAGAATGTATTGGTTAGGAGCAATACACTAATTATATAAATTTTTAAAATTTCACTTACCCGTATCCTTCTCATAGCTGCCACAATTTCCATTCTACTACTAGGACGAGGAACATCTAAAGTACCTATGTACTAAAGTAAAAATTTACAAAGATATTAATATGTAATTTTAAAACTTTCATTCATAAAATAGTTAAAAATTAAAACAAAATAAAAATAAAATAATTTTTATCTTAAGATTATTTCATAAATATGTTAATAAAAATATTAATTTTAAAATATATAAATCAAATCATAAATGCAAAATTAAAGAAATAGTGAATACATCTATTCCTTTTCATACAATCTATTTATTCCTAAATTTTTGTTAATAATAAAACTATAGTATTATGTTATTTATCTAGTAAAAATGAATAAATTATTTAAAAAAATAAAAAATAGAATACAGCATTGTTATCCTTCAACATTCAAATAAATTAAAAACAAGTTTTAATTAACTTTTAAATATATTATATACTTTATAGTTTTTCAGGCTACTATTCTGAATATAAGCATTTTATTTTTGTCTGCCCTTCAATTAACTCTCTGGCTAATGGAAGAGTTTTTGAGGGACAAATAAACAAAGACTACAAATGTTAATTCAAGTTTTTATTATATGTTTAAAGGTTAAATGATATTAGGTAATTCAGAAAATCTATATTTAAAAATTAATAAATTTCTTTAATAAAAGCTTTTTGAAAAATTTAATGGTAATAAACTTTTCATCAACATATTTTAACAAATTTTAAATTAGAGATTGTTGCTTTTCATATTTCAATAACATAAAATGATCTAACCCTAAAAACATTAATAAAGTAGATTTTTTTCTTTACAAAGTTTATTCTTTCTTCCTGCATAAATAAGCATTTCTTTTAATATTAAAATTTGCAATGATCCTATTATATTGAATATTTTAAATATTTTATGTTATTACATAGAGATTTCAATACGTAATGATATTTAAATTGATCTATTAAATATATTTTGATCCATATATTCAACCTAGAATATAAACAGTAATTAAAATTTTTTTTCATTATACATTTGTGTATTTGTGTNATTATATATAGATCTTTCATACAATATGCAATAGTAAATTTTAATATACCATATCATATCACTAACAATTCATTTTCTTGAAATCGTAAAACAATTTCTATTACAATTTCTACTACTATTTATATATTTATAAGAAGGTATAAATTTATTGTTATAAAACTACAAAAATTCCCCCATTTCATTTTTAAATTTTTCATAAAAAGTTTGAGATCTAAACTACACTTAAGATCATTCATATTAAAATAAGATCATTTTTTTCAAATACCATCTTTTTTTTATTAGAATGATTCTTCTAACAATTTAAACAATTAAAAAAATTAGTAATTAAACTTTAATCAGATGATTCTTTAAAAATAGTGGTTAATAGATTTGAATACAACAAGCATTAGATCAGTATCCAAAAAAGTAATGGCATCACATCTATAAATACTTAGCAGGTTATGTCAAGGCCTTTTTTCTCAATGAATAAAGAAATTGAAATTTTATTTACATTCTATTTATTTATTTACATTAGAAGTGCTATATTTAAAGTGTTTATTACTTAATATAAATTAATTTTATTAAAAATTTTAAATTACTAATAAAATTTAAAATGCATATTAGACTTCAAGACTAGAAAATCAATTTAAAGTTTAATATAAAATTGATAATTATGTAAAAATTATGAATTAAATTTGTAAGAATAATTTATATAAAACAAACAGATAAATAAAAAGCTATTTTTTAATTATTTAATAAGCCAAAATCTAGACTGATAATAAATCAGGATTATTTGATAATTTAATTAATTATTATTACAGCAAACTATCACTACTAACATTATTACATTTAAACCAGTGCTTCTTTTTTTTACTTATTACATTCTAAGAATTTGATTTAATATTACAATTAAAGAAACTTTCACAACAAATACAACTGCAGCCCAGTCATTTTGTTCTATAAGTTAAATTTTATTTTTATACAATCATACAAGTCATAATATTAATTAATGAGCATCTCCAAAATCATAAAATTTACTATAAAGTTAAAATTATAGTTAGCAAAATTCAATGGAAATACAGGTAGAAATTTTTAGGTTCAGTTAAATATATTCAAAAAAAAAAAAAAAACTGAAAACTATGAAAAATGATAGTTGCAATACAAAACATTTTAATTTTTTAAATTTAAATGCATAATTTTTCTATTAAAAGACCAAAAATTCTATTGGATAAAACTATAATATTCCAAACTAATATCATATACAAAATTGTTAAGAGTTAACAGTTAAAGTTTTAGTGTCATCTCATTGTTTAAAGGCTGCTGCTACTTCAATCTTTTCCAAATCTTTATAATGGGTTTCCCATATATTCAAAACTTCAAATCAAAGTAACTATTTGCTAAAATTTATATACAGGTAACCCCCATATAACACGGTAGTTACGTTCCAAAAAATTGCCATGTTATGCGAAACAAAGAACTAGTACGAAAAGGAGGGTTAGGTTCCAAAAATTAAAAAACATGCTACTATATTTTCATAATTAAGATAAATATCTTTATTAAAATTTTCTTAAGAGATACATATTAATATAAATTAAACAATGTTTTCTTTTTCATCACCAAAAGCACTATTAACCGAGAGCATTTTATTTTTGGCAAGTTATCATTATCCTCTGAACATTTTTCTGCAATATTTTCAGATTCATGCTTTACCTTTTGCAAAAAGTGTATGTAATTTTAGATTGCTTGCTTCTAGTTAAAAGATCTTTATAAATTTCCTTATATGGTGCTAAGCACTTATGGAATAACGGAAAAACATCTGGCAACACCAGAAGCAGAAGCGTCGAGATCTGGCAAAATTGAAACAATTTTCGCGAAGGACCATGTGTATGGAGACGAGAAAAGAACATTTACACAAGTAATAATAGTTCACGAAAATAATAATTTTCGTGAACTATTAGTACTTAAGTATGTAAAAATTTATTACATTTCATGTTGTACGAGGATTTTACCCAATTCTTGAACCGTGTCAGAGTGAATCCGTGCTATAAAAGTACCGTGTTATACGGGGTATGGTACCAATTCTCGAACCATGTTAGAGTGAATCCGTGCTAGAGAAGTGCCATGTTATACGGGGGTTACCTGTATGTATAAATTTGAAATCATCATTATTGTCTAAATTTTTAATTTACATTAATATACATATAAAACAATCTAATCAAAATAAATAAAGATAATTAAGATAATTACAGTCAATTTGAAACTGCTGGCATCAGTAAAATCAAACAACATTATTTTATATGAATACTTGCAAATTTTATTCATCCACATAACTCAAGAATCAATATAAACTAACTTCATATAATGAAAATTTATATTAAAGCTTTTGAATACAAAATTACCTAAATAATTTATAAATTAATTTGATTTTAAAATATCATTTCAAAATTAAATATATTTGATAACTGAATTATATATAGATCTTTCATACAATATGCAATAGTAAATTTTAATATACCATATCATATCACTAACAATTCATTTTCTTGAAATCGTAAAACAATTTCTATTACAATTTCTACTACATATAGAAATTGTTTTGCAACTTCAAGAATTATAGTAAAGAATTGAATTATGTATTTTATTTTGTATCGTAATAATCATAAATACAATAAACCATATATGAAACAAAATACTGATAATAATAATAAAAAGAAAAAGGAAAACAATCTCTTTCCATGCACAATAATTTTTAAACAAATGATTTTAAATTATAAATAATAAATTCAAATAGTAATTGTTGTCTTTTTTACAGAAAATATTTTTACAATATCCACTAAAATAGTACACAATTTAAGCTTGTTTTAATTTTTAACTTATTTTTATCAGTTATCTACCTGTTACATTTCACTCTTGATAATTTGTGTTGATTGTTATATTTATAAATTGTAAATTATATTTTATCTTAAAACATCTTTAGAAACTGTTTTTGTATTATTAGAATTATATATATTTTGTCAATTAACTATTATGGAACTAATAAATTGATTAGTGAAAAATTAAATATACAAAATTTTCTCTTTTTACTTTCCCAGTTATTATGTATACATAACAAATTGAAATAGTGTCAAATTTGACTCTGAGATTTTGCAAATTATGTTTTGAGACCTGCTGAATCCAAAAAACAAAAAAATAAAACAGCAAAACAATTCCACATTTGTGTGTGTTGGTGACTATTTCACCTAATATCTCAGGATGGGGTAAAGATTAAGAGACAAAATTTGGAACAGTGGCTTACATATGAGGGGCATTGATGCTAATAAATTTTGGTGGTAAAAGGTCAAGATGGTGGGAAAATAAAGGGAGCCATGAGAGGTGTAGGACTTAATAAAGATTTTATTTGTTACTAGCTGCAAGGACCCGCTTCGCTGGGTTTTTATTTGTTCGTACATTTGTATGTAATATAGTTTTTTTTATATATAAAAGACTGCTTTTCTAAGTAATCTAGAATCTAGCTGCAAGGACCCGCTTCGCTGGGCAAAACGTAATGATAGTGAAGATTAAGATAATTACATTATAGCTAATCTTACCCGTTTTCACAGAATGCAAGAATTAGGTCCCCCGTTTCCAGACTAATTAGAGAATTTTTACATTTAGTCAAACGAACTATTTTCAACGTTTCTGGAACGTTTACAATCGTTCTATAATCGAATCAATATTCGAATTTAATTCGAACAAATTCAAATTAAATTCAAACAAATTTGAAAAAAACATTCGAAACAGAAAGCCACTTTCAACCACTTTCAGCCTCATATCTCCCGCACCCTTATAGGTATCGAGACGCAACCACCCCTATGCACGAATGGAGACTTGGGGCTAC